GGTCCAAACTATGGTCCTTAGGCCCTATAAGAGAATTGCCATTTAATTGACAGCACTTTTCTTAGCATATGTGATGTTCCTAGAATAGCGATCTTCTGGGCAACTTATATGTTGATGTTACCTGGGCCACTGTTAGTAAAATTGTCTATTCCTTTTCTCACAAGGCCCCAGAGCTCCAATTATAATAATAATAATTATTATTATTATTTGTGTATGTTATGTTTCCTGCTTTGTATCCTGTAGAGCCAGGTTCAACGTATGGTCCTTTGGCCCTATAGGAGAATTGTCACTTTTCTTAGCATATGGGATGTTCCTAGTATAGCGATCTTCTGGGCAACTTGTATGTTGATATTACCTGGAACACTTTTAGTAAAATTGTCCATTCCTTTTCTCACGAGTCCCAATGCTCTGATTACTACTGGTACAGTTTCAGTCTTCATTCCCCACGTCTTGTTAATCATAATCTCCAGGTCCCTGTATTTGGACAATTTCTCGATAATTTTCATGGAGGTGTTTTTCTCAGATGGTACTTCTATGTCAATAAGCATACACTTCCTAAATTTCTTGTCTTTTGTGACAATATCCATGACAGTTTAAACTGGCATGTCCCATAGAATAGTTGCATCCTTATTTTGTGTAACTGTGTCTGGTTGGTGCTCATACTATCTTTCAATGGTTTCGATGTTGTGCTTCTTGCATATGTTCCAATGCACATATGTCGCTACCTTATGTATGGGGCTATATCCATTTTTTGCCAGTTCCGGACACCCTGAGATAATATGGTCGACAGTTTCATCATATTTTCCGCAGATCTCGCATTTATTATTATTATTATTATTATTTTGTTTTGAGTCTCTTTTATGAGTACAGACACTGAAAAATGTATTGACCTCAAATAACTGTGACAACTATCCACAAACAACTGACCATCTTGTGTCAGGTTGCATAGTGTTAGCACCCCAGTGTATATAAAACTTAGCATGAACTTGAAGTGGAAATCTTAATCATGTGGCACATGACGAGATCAATAATTCTAGTTGTAGTTGGAACCGTTGGATTGATTGGAAAAGGGTCCGATAAACACATTAAATGGATTTCTGGTAGGTATTCCTTTAGAGAAATACAAAATAATGTACTCATACATTCGAAGTAAAATATGCGTGATTGTTTTCAAAACTGGTCTTTGGAAAATGTCATTTCTGACCTTAGACCTCTGGTTGGGACCCGGAAAGAAATGAGTATACACCAGATATGAAAGGAAATATAATAATAATAATAATAATAATAATAATAATAATAATATGTGAAGAAAAGGAAAGAGGAAGAGAGAAGGGGTTACTTACGGACGGGTTGCTTCAGCCTCGGGGGAATTGTGTCCAGCTAAACTGGAACCGAATGACCAACTGATATTTATAGTCTTGGTCGGAGGAGGATTGTGGGAAGCGGTTAGCCTCCTTATAAAAATCATCCTCTGTATTCTGACGGGACCTATTTGCTCTATCAGCCGACACGTGACTGGTTAATTGTCGTACTGAAGGATTATTACTTCTTTTTCTTCTCTGTTACTAGACCTAGTTGGAGCGGGTCGCAAGAGGGGGACTCCTTTTGCAACCCTTACCAGGCTGTTGCTGCTCTCTTCTGGGTTTTCCACACTTTTAATGCGTCGCCAGTTTTTTTTTTCCGACAAATAATAATAATAGTAATCAACAATCCCTGTTATAGTTGGAGCCCTCGGATTGGTTGAAAAAGATTCCAATAGACTAATTAAAGGGATTCCTGGAAACTCATGCCTTAAAGAAATACAAAAAGTTGTTCTTACGAGTACAGCCCACACCTTACGAAGGGCTTTATCGATGTAAAATATGTGTGTTGTTTTTCTTTTTCTTTTTTTAATAACTCAGTGGAAAATGTCATGATGCCATTTCTGACCTTAGGTCTCTGGGTGGGACCCGGAAAGAAATGAGTACACACCAGAAATCAAAGGAAATAAAACAACAACAACAACAATAATAATAATAATAATAATAATAATAATAATAATAATAATAATAGTAATAATAACTTAAAATGCAAATTCTGTGATAAATATAGAGAAATAATTAACCATCTTGTATCAGGTTGCACAGTGAATATAAAAATTAGCATCGTAGAGTGAGACACTATCTGCACTGGAAAATATGCAACTTTTACGGAAAGGAGACTGCAAAAAACTAGTTTGAAAATCACCCAGACCCACTTACAGAGATATAAGGTGGGACCTGTAACAATTTTGTGGGCCTTTACAACACACACACACACACACACACACACACACACACACACACACACACACACACACACACACACACACACACACACACACACAGAGAACAATCAAATCTAATCGCACAAATATAGAGGTCAAAGTCCACAACAATCATAATGTGCTTTCTTATTAAAATGGCAGTCTCTGTAGATTGTAAGATATCTTTGATCATCAAAAAAACTGTCAAAATACAAGGAACTTGAAGTGGAAATCTTAAAAATGTGACACATGAAGATATCAATAATTCCAGTTGGAGTTGAAGCCCTCAAATTGATTGGAAAGGGTCCGATAGGTTCATTGATTTCTGGCAGCCATTTCCTTAGAGAAATACAAAAAAAAAAATGTACTCACAAGTGCAGCTCACACATTACGAAGAGCTTTATATATGTAAAATGTGTGGGATTTTAGTTTTTTTTGTTTTTTATAAAAATGATGCGTGGAAAATGTCATGAAGCCATTTCTGACCTTAGGTCTTTAGTTAGGACCTGGGAGGAAATGGGTATAGAACAGAAATCAAAGGAAATACTACTACTACTACTACTACTACTACTACTACTACTAATAATACTACTACTACTACTAATAATAATAATATCAAAATACAAGGACCTTGAAATCGAACTCTCAAAAATGTGGCACATGAGGGCATCAACAATTCCAGTTGGAGTTGGAGCCCTCGGATTGATTGGAAAAGGTTCCGATAGACTCATTGAAGAGATTCCTGGTAGCCCCTCACTTAAAGAAATATAAAAAGTAGTACTACCAAGTACAGCTCACATATTAGGAAGACCTTTATCTATGTAAAATGTGTGTGATATTAGTTTTTTTTACAAAAATGATCCGTGGAAAATGTCATGAAGCCATTTCTGACCCTAGATCTCTGGTTCGGACCCGGAAGGAAATGTGTATACAACAGGAATCAAAGGAAATAATATTAATAATAATAATAATAATAATAATAATAATAATAATATAATAGTTATAGAAAATGTAAGTCACAAGATATTATGGGATTTCTCGGTCCAGATTGAAATACAAAGATCCGACCTTATTGTTATAGATAAGGTTAATAGCAAATGTCAAATTATTGACTTTGATGTTTCACCTCGTGCAAAAGTAGACAACAAAGAAACTGAAAACACCAGGACCAAGAGAGGAAGAAGAAGAAGGAGTAGGAGAAGAAGAAGTAGTAGTAGTAGAAGAAGAAGAAAAGAAGTAGAAGAAGAAGTAGTAGGAGAAGAAAAAGTTGTAATGTAGAAGAAGAAGAAGAAAAAGAAGAAAAAGAAGTAGAAGAAGAAGTAACATGAGAAGAAAGAGTAGTAGTAGTAGAAGAAGAAGAAAAAGAAGAAGAAGAAAAAGAAGAAGAAGAAGAAGAAGAAGTAACAGGAGAAGAAAGAGTAGTAGTAGTAGAAGAAGAAGAAGAAAAAGAAGTAGGAGAAGAAGTAGTAGGAGAAGAAAAAGTTGTACTGTAGAAGAAGAAGAAGAAGAAAAAGAAGTAGAAGAAGAAGAAGTAGGAGGAGAGAAAAAGTTGTAGTAGTAGTGGAAGAAGAAGAGGTAGAAGAAGAAGTAGTAGTAGTAGTAGTAGTAGAAAAAGAAGAACAAGAAAATGAAGTAGTAGCAGTAGTAGTAGTAGTAGAAGAAGGAAGAGAAGAAGAAGAAGAAGAAGAAGAAGAAGAAGAAGATTAATCGGTTCATTCATTTTCAACGCCTTATCAACACTTTCTGGTTATTTTATTAGGATGGACGGTGGAGTAATTGCTTAGAGACACAAATCGGAGAGCCGAGTTCGAATTCCAGTCGGATCCATTATATTCACTTACAAGCTAATACCGTTGGGAAAGGTATGAATCCTCTTCTCCCCACCTATGGGCAAATAGGAGGATAGACTGGGTTGTCTCGAGAAGAAAGAAAGAATTCAAAACTGTAGCACATTCTATAGAGCTAAAGAAAGAATCGTTCGCATTGGCTCGATGATTCCATCTACGGTCGATTTGTAAGTAAAGCTAGAAAATATTTTTAAATGGTAAATCCTATCTCGGAGATAAGAATGGTTTAATGTTGTAACCTAGGGAAGGTTATTGAATAGAATAATCAAACGAATGTTGGTAATGAACGATAATACTTAGGACAAGAACAACGCATATAAGATTCGCCAGCGGCGCGTAGAAGAAATAGTCAACTGCTAGAAGTGAGTCAAGTGAATTCCACAGTGAATCTCCAACTGCAGGATATCTACCAACCGCCCAACGCGATCATATATGGCACAAGGCCGAATTTAATATGAGGTATCCGAGCCTTTAGGCTCTGCTAAAAATTCCTCCGTAGACCCCGTATAAAATGCGATCGGGTTGATTTTCCCCGAAACGAGACACTGCCCTTCGACATAGCCTTGTCTGGGGATTCTCACCGCCCGAAGACAGAGAGTTTGACCAGCACAGCTGGAGACGAATCTCCAACTGCAGACCAACATACAGTATTTACTATTGTATTTATGTGAATGGTGACATATCCATTATCGTCCGTAGGTATGCTACAACATTTAGTAATACAAGTCTGGGTGATGAAGAGGTGGATTTATCCTCTTCCCAAGGGTATTTGCGTGGAAGTGGATATAACGAACCCGATGGGAATTGGAACTCGGCTCTTTGATTAACAAGGTCCAGCCATTATCCATTACACCACTTGCACATCCAAGCTTACAGCAGCTGGTATTCCCAAACTGTCCCCCATCTTGTTACTGACCAGGCTCGACGTTGCTTAACTTCAGTAATCGTACGGGAACCGGTGTTTCACCGTGATGTGGCCGCAAGGAAGAAGAACTTTAGGAAAATTGGATTTAAATCCGGTTATTTGTCGCACGATAAAAGTCTAATTACTATTTCTGTCCCATAATATTTGTTACATATACATGCACATTTCATACACCAAGTGTAACAACTTTTATGGGACAGTTGTAGTAATATCTCCATGATGTAACCAACTCTGTCCCAAAATAATTGTTTCATTTACTGTATGAAATATATCAGCAAATGTCTCAACTTTTGTGGGACAGTAATATTAATATTATTTAAATGATCACCTCTGTCCCAAAATAGTTGTTACACTTTGTTTATGAAACGTATATGCATGTGTAATAAATTTTATGGGACAGAATATTAATATTTTTATATGACTAACACAGTCGCAGAACAGTTAATGTATAGTTAATATATGAATATATATATATATATATATATATATATATATATATATATATATATATATATATATATATATGCATTTCTATATATAGATTCATTTCTGTAGTTTACTGCTACCAGCAAGCAGAAATATTTCTTCTCCTGATGATGGCCATTTTGGCCGAAACTAGTCGAGGAATCTAAATGAAATAATAATAAAAATACGAAAGAATATTAATCTACAAACCCAATGTGCCTGAAGATTTTAATTTTTAATATCTTTTTATTGTTCAATATATATATATATATATATATATTACAATAAACGTGCAATCAATTTACAAATACATTAATTATTCACACAAAACTAATTCAAATTAGTTAATGATTTTTTAATGGCGATTATATACCTGAAGATGTCTGTAGAACACGAAAGCAAATAGTAAAAAAACAACCAATACGGCAGAAATTTATATAAACAAGGATCAATTCATTCATAACGGATCTGGAGGTTTTTTGTACTATTTGAATTGTTTGCGATGATGGATGTCTGCCATTTAAATCATTAACCTTTGAATTAGTTTTGTGTGAATAATTCATGTATTATATATATATATATATATATATATATATATATATATATATATATATATAGGCATGTGTCATAATTTTTATGGGACAGTAATATTGAACTGCGATGGTGGTTTAATTTTGGGGATAAGTATATTAGAAAAACCCTGAACTTATACTCGGATCAAACCACTTGCATACAGATAGAAAATGATTTCACTAGTTATACAAAATAGAAAGGGGTGTAAGACAAGGCTGTGTCGTCTTACCGGACTTTTTTCAGCCTATACAATGAGGCTATTCTGAATGAATTAGAAGTCCTACAAGGATTCGTTATTGGCGGCCATATTCTTAACCGCATAAGATATACAGATGACACATTGCTGATAGCAGACGCGAAAATTACCTCAGATGAAATATGATAAAGGAAAGTGAGGAGAACGGACTAACTACCAATTATCAGAAGCCAGAATGTATGGCTGTCAAGAAAAGCAACAATCCAAGATGCGAACGACGAATTGGAGACACGAAAATCGAACAATAAATATATAGGAAAAGAGCAAAAAATGTGACACCGAAATCCGAAGCAACGTTGGAATAGCAAAAGATGCCTTCTAAAAGCTAAGCAAAGTATTAAGAAAAAAAATGAAAATTTCGTTAGAAACAAGAAAAAGAGTACTGAACTGTTTTGTAATATCAGTCGACCTATATGGCGGTGAATGCCGGGCAATTTCATCAAAGATAAAGAAGAGACTTGAGGCAATAGAAATCTAGTTCTACAGAAGGATGCTGAGAATTCCATCAACATGTCAGCAACGATAAAGTTTTAGAATAACAGGAAAGAAAAATGACACCTACTTAGGATAAAAAAAAACACCCGAAATGAGAAAAAAGGGCTTGGAGAATTTGACACTCAGAGGGCATGTTGAAGTCGAGAGGGACAGGGGAAAGCAGCGAATAAACCCCTGCTAACGAGTTTGGGTGAAATGGTTGACAGAACAGAGATTAGGGGACATAGCAAAAAGACAAATATTGCCAAGAGCTACAAAAGACAGGAAGTTGTGGAGAACAATGATCACCCACGCCCTGAAGGGACACGGCGCATAGAAGAAGATGAATATTTTTATATGACCACCTCTGTCCCAAAATAGTTGTTACACTTAATGTATGAAATATGTAGGCACGTGTCACAACTTTTATGGGACAGTAGCAGTGATATATTTTTAAATGAATATTTCATTGGAAACAAAGGAAAAAGTACTGAACTCCGATGTGGCAGTGAATGCTGGGCAGTCTCCCCACAGATGAAGAAGAGGGTTGAGTCAATAGAAGTATGGTTCTACAGAAGGATGCTGAGAATACCATGGATTGAACATGTGTGCAAGGATTAATTAATAGAGAAAACGGAAACAAAAATGACAATTATACGTTGCATCAGAAAAATTAAAATTTCTACACCACATAATGAGGAAAGTGGGTTAAGAAAATTTGACACTCACAGGACATATTGAAGGCAAAAGCATAACCTACCTTATGAGCTGGTGTAAATGGTTGGCAGAAAAGGGGCTAAGAGATAAATATCTAGGAAATGTTTTAACAAAGGATGGAAAATACGATACAGAAATGCAAAGACGCATTGCGATAGCGAAAGTGCATTCTAAAAGCTAAGCAAAGTATTAAGAAACAGGAAAATTTCGTTATGAACAAAGAAAAGAGTACTTAACTGTTTATGCAATATTGGTACTCCTATATGGCAGCGAATGCTGGACAAACTCTTCACAGATGGAGAAGAGACTTGAGGCAACAGAAATATGGTTCTACAGAAGGATGCTGAGAATACCATGAGCGCGACGATTAAGTTTTAGAGAAAACGGAAACAAAAAGGACACTTATACGTTGCATTAGGAAAATTGAAATTTCTAGAGCACATAATGAATAAAGAGGGTTTGGAAAATTTGTAGTGGTATTTTTTAAATTACTAATTTTTAAAAAAATACTAATGTTCATCAGATACAAGGCTCAAGAGCCACTCAAAGTAGAGGGTTACTGTGTAGTGTTGTATGAGCGCAAGAAGTGAAATTCATGAGTTTATGCAGAAAAGATAATAGATAAGCTTGAAGAGGCCAAGATTATTGCAATTGGGAAAGCATTCCCCGGGAGTCCGTTCAACAAAGCAGACGTTCTTGGGAAGAAGTTGTCCGAATGGAACTTCCTTCTTACTAATGGAATACAAAAGGGGTGGGGGATGAGTGACCCTTGTCTATGGGTCATGGCGGCACCCAGTTATAAAAATCAGTGGGTGGGTGGGGCTAAGAAATATAGCTCGTCATAACACATACCATCTGTCCCAGAACAGTTGTTACACTTAATGTATGAAATATGTAAGCATGTGTCACAACTTTTATGGGACAGTAGAAGTAATATTGTTAAAATGACCACCTAAGTGTTGCTTTGTGGAACCGACTCCCAAGAGGATGCTTCCCTGATCACAAAAATATTAACCTATTCAAGTCTGGGGTTAACCGTTATTATCCTCACATATGGGCATAAACTCCGCCTATTACTATGTATCCTTCTACCTTGAGTGGCTCTCGGGCTTTTATAGAGGGAACATCACTGTAAAAAAAAAAAATACAAAAAAACATTCTCCAAGAATAGTTGTTACAGTTTGTGTGTGAAATGCATATGCATGTGTTACAAATTTTATGGGACAGACGTAGAAATATTTTTATAGGACAAATACTGTCCTAGAATAGTTGTTACGCATAGTGCATGAAATGTGTATGTATGCGTTGCAAATATTATGGGACAGTTGTAGAAATTTAAGTTTTGTCGTGTAGCAAATAAACAGATTTATATTCGACTTGTTAAGAATGTCAAAAAATTTGATGTATTTTTTTTCCTTTTGTATCAGCTTAGGTTTGAGTGTTTCTTCTTTTAGATCGCTGAGGAGTGAGTTCGAACTTCGTTTGCTACCCCAATGTTGCGTCTTTCTTTGAAGTTGAACTTAATTCTCTACCAAACAGTTATCGGTAGTACAGTGTAACCGGGATATAAGACAGATTTTCTCTGGTCCCAATGTGTTCCCATACTTACCTAAACAAAATAGACCAAACCCGGATATAAGAGAAACCCGGATATAAGAGACTTCGTCTCCGGTCCCGACAACTCTCTTATATCCGGGTTACACTGGAGTTTCGTTTTAGTTCCTGGAGAAGTAAATAAATGCCACACGCACAATTTGAACACGCTGAAAGATTCAAATAATTTCTTACCCTCGCCACCGACAGAAGCCGGATTCGAAACACTTGTTAAACGGGTACCTTGCCTTCTTGGTAATCCAGTTCGGGGTCTAGAGCAGGCACGTCGTATCGCGCGCATACACAACGTTAGTTGGAGATAAGCACTTGCCTTTCCTCAGATGAGCAGTTCTTTTTTTTTTTTTTATTTTACTTTTTTTTACAGGTGTTTTTACACAATAGAAAGTGGAGTCAAAAGAGGAGGAGGGAGAGAGAGAGAAAGAGGATGAGATACACAGGGAGAGAGAGAGAGTGAGAGAGAAAGAAGGAGAGGGAGAAGTTTTTATTTTTATTTTTGACCTACCTTTTTTATTCCTTCCTATCAGCTTGTTGTATATAGATATAATACGTTACTTAGCAACTACATTTACCTGAACGAAGGGAGTGGTGGAGCCGGCGTAAAGCGTATCTGATGTCATGTTGGCATGGAGATTAATAGGTACGCTAAACTGTAGTAGTATTCAACCCAGTCAATGTATGCGCGTGTTTGTATGCGCATGCGCGTACATGACTATGAATTTTAGAGATAAATACAGAGAGAGCCTATATATATATTTATAATTTTTAACTATATATATATATAATGATATACGAATTTCATTATCTGTCTCATAATGGCAAAATGAGAAAAAAAGCGTCTAAATTTCGGTTCTCGGACGTATTTCTTCAGAGTAATAATATGCTTCTATCAATGGAGTCACACACACACACACACACACACACACACACACACACACACACACATATATATATATATATATATATATATATATATATATATATATATTATTCGGATCTTTATGCAGAACGCAATCTTTTGTATCTTCGTAGAGAATGACCGTTACATAAATTTAAAAAAATATATCTAGTGAACATAATGCTTGTGCGCCTATATATATATATATATATATATATATATATAATTATTTTTTTAAAAATATGATTCCAACACGCTACATAAGAGTTCTCATGTTTCAAAACAAGAGCCGAAAACTTCGATATAATTATTAGAATTAAATTAAATTACTAAGCTCTGTTCCATCTTCAAGCGAAATTTTTTTTGGAATAACTTATTTCTGAAATTTACGTGTTTTATAAGCATATTCATTATTAAAATCAAAATTTGTATGGTAACGGCTAGAGCAATTGTTTAAAGAAAAAGGGGCGTAAGGTGTTAATAATTTGTATCAATATCTCGGTTACATTCACAGATGTCAAGTTAGGATAAGGTTGGGGTGTCTAAATTTAAAGCGGAAAGACATCGCATAGTCTGGTTAAGCGTCTATGGAGATTTATTTATTTTTTAATTTTATTTTTTATTTATTCTGAAAGGGGTTTATGCATATAAAAACTGTCGTAAATCGCTAACATTTGTTTTTTGACGCCTTCATAAAGGGTTTTCATTTATGGTAGGGTATTTAAACTATTTATTATGACTATGGATTTTAAAAATTATTTTATTGTTTGTTTGTTTTTATGCTAATTATTCAATGCAAAAATTTGATGATGTCGGCAAAAAATAAAATAAAAAATAAATAAATCTCTATAGATGCTTAACCATATTATGCGATGTCTTTCCGCTTTAAATTTAGACACCCCAACCTTACCCTGACTTGACATCTGTGAATGTAACCGAGATATTGATACAAATTATTAACACGTAAATTTCAGAAATAAGTTATTCCAAAAAAAAAAGAAAAAAAATTTCGCTTGAAGATGGAACAGAGCTTAGTAATTTAATTTAATTTAATTCTAATAATTATATTGAAACATGAGAACTCTTATGTAGCGTGTTGGAATCATATTTTAAATAAATAATTATATTTGTGCTCTACTTTTGTATCGAGTACTATTTTTTTAAAATGATAACAAAAATACTAAAGAACTTTGGATTATTTACCTAACGAGTTCTTTCCTATTTTCTATATATTTTTCACACACACACACACACACACACACACACACACACATATATATATATATATTTAAGTTATGAAGAACTTGGTAATCCGTATGGATAATCCCAAGGAGGATTAAATTTTAATATATATATATATATATATATATATATATATATATATATATATATATATATATTTAAATAAATTTTAAATAATCAAATTTAAAATTTTGAATAATTTTAAATAAATAAATTTTAAATAAATAAATTTTAATTTATATAAATTATATATATATATATATATATATATATATATATATATACAGACGCGCCGTCGCCTCTCTCTGTCTTTTCGACAAATACTTCCATGGTAACTGCTCTGACGAGCTGCTTTCACTGGTTCCCAGACTTCATGAATTCAAGCGCCCTACGAGGCTGGCATCCCGCTCCCACCCTTAATCCGTAGAAACTTTCAAATATAGCCGTCTCTTCTACTCCAATAGCTTCATACCTCGCACCTCTCGCCAGTGGAACACTCTCCCCAATTACTGTTTCCCTGAGAGCTATAATCTCCAACTATTCAAATGTAATGTCAATCGACATCTCCAGTTGCCTTGATCTACCCAACTATCCTTCTCCTCATCCTTTCTCCTATCACTCCTATCTGCTCTCGCTCCAAATCTTCCGCACCCCCCTGCATCCTAGTGGCTTCACGCCTTGCTTGGGGCGTAATGCTTAATATATATATATATATATATATATATATATATTATAAATTAACTGATTTAAAATATGATTTCTTCACTACACAGGAATTACCATGTTTTAAAAACCGAAGCTAAAAACTTAAAATTTAATTATATAATTGAATTAAAAGCATTAGTTTTATTTCATCTTCAAGTGAATTTTGGAACCAAAATTCGCTTGAAGATGAATCATCATCACCACCAGTAGCACCATCACCATCATTTGGAACCAAAATTCGCTTGAAACAGAACTAATTCCTCATCCACCTTATTCTCCCGATCTTGCTCCTTCAAACTACCATTTGTTTTGTAGCTTACAGAATCATTTGGAAGAAACAGCTTTTGTAATACAGGAAGAGGTTAAAACTGACATTTGTGAGTTCTTCGAATCAAAGCCAAAAGAATTTTACAGTAATGGAATTAGTAAGCTTGTTAATAGATAGAAGGAAGTCATAGATAATCAGGGAAAATACATTGTTGATTGAATCTGTAATTAAATGTAACATTTGGTCACTTGTTTTCTTTATTCAAAATTCGGACAGAACTTATGGGATGACCTGATAGTTTTGTCACTCAACTGATTAGTGTTACTTTCAGCACACGCGCGTGAGCGCGCACGCACACACACACACACACACACACAACCCTGACTTGGCATCTCAACTTCAGTCACTTTCTCACCGACGTGACGTGGCTTCCCTCTGTCTTTTCTACAAATCTTTTCATGGCTACTGCTCTGACGAGATTTTTACCCTGGTGCCCGGACTAAGTGAGTTTAAACCTGCTACTAGATTGGCATCTAGTTCCCACCCGTTTCCTGTTGAATTAGATAAATGCAACCGTCACTTACTACCGGTGGAATCCCCTTTTGTTTACTTGCTGCCCTGATATCTACAATCTTCAAAAGTTTAAATGCAACATCAGTCGCCATCTTCTATCTTCTTGAATCCCGTCCATCTTTTAAATTTTCCTTGGTTCCCTCTACATCCAGTCTTTTCTCTTACCTTCACTCTCTGTAGCCCCCACCCCTGCGTACTAGTGGCATTCCAGTCTTTCTTTGGGGTGAAATGATTAATATATATATATATATATATATATATATATATATATATATATATATATATATACCGGGTGTAACAGCAAAATTGTCCAAATCGTGTAACAGCAAAATTGGCCGATTGTTAGATTAAGTTTGAACCGTTGTATGTTAGAAATGATTAAAGATATCTTACTGGAATTCTCCGAGATTTTTATAACAGTATTGAACTCTACTTTGAACAATAAGAATATATGTAGTCCTAAGTTGAAATGATGATCCCTCTTGCTATTGTGACATCCTGATTCATTTTTTCTCTTTACTGTTCCCTCTTTTTTAAACTTATTCACCGTTCTCTTGATGGTTCTTGAATGGACTTTGAAGATAGAAGCCGGAGTATGAACGTTGGTGCCATTACTGAAGGCCTGAATGATCTTTTTCCTCTCACCATTGCTCAGTTGTGAAGACAGTGGAGATGACATAAAATGATTTTTACCGGATTTTTTTCTAGTTGAATAACTCACAGTGTTTTTCAGTGATTCTTACGGCAAATAGTGTCAGGATGGCTAAACGTCTTCTCTGAAAACTTACTTGAGTGTTGTTTTAGATATCAAACATTTTGTGGGATGGACACAATTATTCCATGTTGTTACAAGATTTGGACAATTTTGCTGATATATATCAAGGGAGAGAATCGATGTTTGACTTAAATATCAAATTTTAATATATTTAGCGCCCGTTGTTCTGAGATGTGCCGACCACATTTAAGTCGTTTATTGCTTTTGTTTTTATTGGTGTTTTAATGAAAAGAGAAAGTAAACTTACATCTAGGATCGTAAAGCATCTCATATATCCATAAAGCTATTGCCATTACCTATCAGGATATTTAGAAACAGTAGCGATAAAAATAAAACAGGCGATTGAAATCTGAATTAGGTCGGCGAGATTATGTATCTAGAGACATCGTTAAATTTTAAAGCTAAGTATCCCTTGTCTCTTCAACATTTCTCGATATAAAATTGTTACCTGCTTTTCTTGTGCCGTGTGTTTCTTCACCACCCCTGATATATATATATATATATATATATATATATATATATATATATATATATATATCGGCGTCGTCGTCGGCTCCCAGTCGTGTCCGAGTGTCGGGTTGTGTCAATCTTTAAAGTCCTATCTTCACGGTTGATGTTTATGTTTAACATGACTTGCGAGCCCCAGTCGGTGGTGGAATAGTCGCGGACAGTGCTCTCAAGGGTAGCGGGAGGACGGGGGCCGTTCACAGCGCTCTCTTCTCCTTCGTCGCCTTGCCTCTTCATTCTCCCTTCTTCTTTCCTCGAAGTCCGCGATGACATCGCGAATTGATCTCCTCCACGTCCCTGGCAGTTTCTTCCCAC